CCCTCCCTTTGGAGGCTGCAACAATTTGGAGAAACCTCAGCCTACTAATTAATACTGCTTTAAAAGAAGAGCAAGCAACTGAAATGTGGACAGAATAATTCCTGAGGAAAGACAGACAAGGAAATCTGTCCCAAAATAAATACTTATTCTTAGACTCTTAAACCTCTTTTTTTCCCCTCCTAATGGCAGCTGTTAATTTGATGGTGCCTTCCCATGGAGAAAACAACCACAGCAATGTTGCTGAGAAAGCTCAGGTCTTTCTCAAAGATGGTAACTGACTGACTTCTTTGCAGCCCAGATTCAGTTGTTCCGCATAAACCACAAATACTCTTCGCAGAAGTGTCATTTATGAATGCTGTGAATGTCCTTTAATCATCCATACTTCATATTCTGGGCATGGCACGCCGCATCAGATCAGTGAATCTGACTCCACAAGGATTACATGGTGCTTTGTTTCCTCCATTACTCTGAGAGTTTGAGAATATAAACAAGAATATAAAGACCTTGGGAAAAATGATGGGAATTACTGTTCTGTTTCATGCCATTTAGACCCTGACAGATCTGTCTGAAAATGAATGCAGATATTATTCCAGCCTGAAAATTTGTACTGGCTGGTTCTGAATTCACAACATCCCTTGGTCTGCATTAATCTCATTGAACCTCATGGGAGGGGAGACTTGATCTTTCCTAGGGTGGAAGAAGAGATTCTGACTTACATCTGAATTACTGCAGTGTTGTGCCAGTTCTACCCAGTGATTTCAGTGAGGGTAAAACTGGTGCAGCACAGTCCTGGCACCGGCCATGGGCTTATTGCTGGCAGAAACTTAATTTGCAAATGATTCACCAACATAAACCAAATCCGTCCTCTTAAAGGTGAACACATTTAATTTAATTTAAATACTACTACCACCGTGGCCTTGTTTTAAAGACTGTAATGCTAGTGGACATTAGCTTTTGTACTTCCTTTTTCACTTTCTCACTAATAATGCTCAGTGGGAAGCAGCTTAGCGGTTTCTCCTGAGGTCTTACTTCCTACCAGTAGATGGGCTTCAGGCAGTACAAGTAAACCTAGTGCCCTTTGTCATCCAACCTCATGCCCATAGAAGCAGTTTTCCATCTCTGCAAGTGATGGGTTACAGATACTGCTAGTGGAAAGGACTCAGTCAGACTCAGCCCAGCCCACATCCAAAGTGTCCTTGCTCAGAAAATGAGATCACAGTGCTTACAATAAAACATGGATTGCTTTGCGTTCTCCTGTACCAGCTCTGCTGCTGTACCAGTGCAAAAGGGGTACAGATTATTTATACATTATGCCTTACATAAGCCATGTGGCAGAAAGCTGAGACTTGACAATGAGATTGGAGCATGCATGAATGGATACTGAGTCCTTTCTCTCTGATATACCATGGCCAAGCATAACAGCCCACACAGGGCTCCCAGTGAGCTCTGGCCATTGCTATGGACACTATAAAGCTTCAATTGAAATTGAAACTTTCACACCATACAATGCCAGAATCAAAGGAGAAACTAGTACATGAAACGTGAAAAGATTACAGAAGAGCCTGGAGAAAGTAGAGAAAAGATATTATCTCTACTAGAACAGGAAAGTGATAAAAATGCAGTAAGATCTCTTACAGACTTCCTGGATGAGTTTCCAATTACTGAGCCATTCCTGATTTGTGACGAAACTTAGTCCCATCTACACACATATTTATATTGGTACCGATGGAGGTGATCAATTATTCAGTTTCTCATTAGCAGAGTTATCCCTCCAGTCATTATCTGTATTTTCCTTTACTCCCATCAGAACTGAGTATTAAATTACTAGTCTTGTTGGATACAGAAAATGAAAAATACAGATCTGATGTGCAAGACTACATTAAAAGATTAGTCAGCAGGAGTTTTATTTATATTTCCACGTTTTTTAGTGGAGAACATAATGTGCTATTCACAGATCACCGTTCTTCTGTGGGTCAGTGTCATTTAAGAAGGTGATAGAAGATACTTGTTCTTATAAAATCTGTTCCAGTAATAGTGTAATTAATGCAGTTACTACTTTAGATACAAGGAAAAAAATTAGCTCACATAACATTTTTCAACATATGTAAATAACTGTTCATACATGTGTCCTGATTTTTGTTGTTGTTGTTGAAGTGTCCCTGAACCTTTTTCATTGCTTCTTTGCTTCTTGTATGGCCACCTGAGCTCAAATCTTTCTCTTCCATCATTTCAGATCTTTTTTTTAAGAGAGAGAAATTGAGAGAAAATTATATAACCAGAAAGCAGAAAAAATGAGGTAATAAAAAAACAAATTAAGATATATTGAAAAGTGGCTTGACTTACCATTTCACACAAGCAGCATGATCATCAAAGCATTTAACTCTGCAGCAAACTATATGTGAGCAAGGATGCAGTACAACATCTCTTCATGTAAATGATGCTTTGGATTGTCTCACATCTTTTGTGTCTGGATAAAGGGAAAATGTGGGTGTCTTGGTGTTAGGGATGAGTTTCCTCTCTTGCTCCTCCTGTCTTTTCTCAGTTATTTAACAGAACCTTCTTTCTTCCTTCAAAATTGTGTGGATTTTTTGATATCTTCATAAATGCCCATTCACTGTAAGGATTTTTCCATGGCATTGCGTATTTAAAATCTACTGTGAAACTTTATGCAGGAAAAAAATTAAGTAGGAGCTATTGAGGTGGAAACACATTTATTATTTTGTAGAATAAATGCAACCAACTTCATCTCTGTATATGGCCATTACATACGAGGTATCTGTGACTGAAATTCCTGCTACATGCTTCAGTGTTTCTGTATACCTTGCAGGTAGGAGCCACACACACATCAACCTGTCAAGCTCTGAAGATACACAGGTAGGAAGAGGATAAATGCAGCAAACTACAGAAAGTCAAAAGTATCCGTCTTAAAATAGACAATAAAACAGAGGGTGTAGTAGGGATAGAAAAAACACAAGCTAGAAAGCCTTCATTTGCTCTGTTAATCTACATTAAAATAAAAATATGATGTGAATCTACCTGGTAGAGTAAGTAGATTTTAATATAAATCCTTTAAGCCTTTGTACACTCATATGGAGACTCTATGTAATTTCATCACATGTTAAAAACTTGCCCTGTGGCAGTTCATTGTCTTTTCCCAGTCATGTAAATACAAGTTTATTATGTTACTAAAATAACAGAAGACACTTCTTAGTAATGTTGGGAGACTTTGAACATACTAGCAGGTCACCTCACGTCCTTTGTTTCTGACTTATTTTTAAGGGTGGTAAATCTAGAAAGTGAGACAAGATCAAGCAGTGAGTATACCCTCATCCCATACTTGACTGCAGAACAAAAGCGGGACACCCTATGTCTTCTGGCCCCAAGTTTGGCACCTCGCTTCTGGATGGTAGTTCACTGCTGAGCTGAAGACTTGCAAAATTGATTTGGAAGAAGAAAGTGCAAAACAGGAGTTTTGTTCAACAAAACATGTTCTTAGATAACTGTTTGCAGCCAGGTTCGCTAACACAGCCATACCCAGTAACACCAGTGGAAGGACACCGACTTGGGTATTTCTACAACTGTATTCAGCACCAAGGGCTCTCTTCATAGTCTGACCCAAGACCTGAGAGCTGACTGCGTACAGGAACCTTTGCACTGCTCTGGGGCTCCATGGCCTCCAAAGGTAACCAATTACATCCTTTCTATAGTGTCTGTTGCTTTAGCAATGGAGGCTGTGGTTTTCATCAGGTGATGCTCAGCATGCTGGTACCTGTCCAGTAGCTATGTGGTTCTAAATTCACTGGGGTCAAGACTTCACTCCAAATAAAGATCCAGCCCAAAGGGACTAGATACAGCTTTTAAATGAAATCTTAGAGCACGAGAGTCTTTGCCATGGCCTCAACTTTTAGTTTAAAGCACCTCACTTTAGATAATTTACTTCTGCTGTCAGAAAGTATCACTCAACCCTGAGATAATGACCTTGCTTGAATTTAGGTGCTTAATATCACGTGTAAGCTTTTTATCTTCAAATATCAAGTGTATTTTCATTACAACTCTTGCACATGATATGTATGTATGATGCTATGCAGTAAGGAGAAACAAAATGTGTGATTTTAAAATTAGTCTTCTGCTATTCTATTTTTTAATCTCCAGATGGTCCTTGGAGCTGGTGATGTTTTCTTTAGTCTATATATTTCCTGCTTTAGTTAGCTCACTTAACCACTGCACATTTGAGACACACACATGTGATCAGATAATATCAGGTGCTGATGTTTAATTGCTTTCACAAAAATGGAAGCGGATAAAATGGTTGAACCGTAATTGAACGATCTTATTAGTAGACAAGCTGATCAGTGTTGTGACACAACTTGAGAGATTCCCAGGCTTGCATTAATTTCACATCAGCCAAGGCGCTCTTGCTGTTAGAGTGCAAGATCAGAGCTGGGTGACTGAGTCTGCCATACATGTTTATCAGCTGAAGGGCTGGCACAATTTGTATCCCTATCAAAGAGCAGTGAAGCATGCTACTGCTTTGATTTACCACCTCCCGAGAAAAAATATGCATCAAACAGATCTTTTGAGGGGGTTTTGAAAAAAAGCCTTGTTCGTCTCCATCCCTGCCCCACCCCAGCATGTGTGATAAAGGACAGGTGGTTGCCAAGAGCACTTGTCCCTCCAGGGGCTTTGTTAGGAAATGTCAGGTAGTGAGAGCCAAGAGGGATGGGGATCTGACACAAGAGGGATGGGGATCTGACACATATTTATATGGATTGGCTGGCTGGACCAAGTCTGAGGCTTCTCCCTCTTGTACCAAATTCAAAGGTTTTTATTGCCCGGTGAAAGATCTGAGGAAAGTTGAGTGAAATTCTCAGAATCTGCACCTTCCGTGTATGTTTTACCAGATGGCTGTCATTAACTGGTGAATGGGAATGTCTGGTTTCGGCATGGCCATAGTAATTTAACTTGAGTGTTAAGATGGAGAGGAGTCATGCAGTACTTACAGGATCCCTTTTTACAAGGCCTGGGTTAGGCACAACAGCAATGAGGTGGGCAATTGTAAACATGGAGTTCAGCACGTAAGAAAAAAACAAGTTCTTATGCAGCGTTATCCTTTGACAGCTGAGGCTCCTGAAAAATATGTAGCACACGTTGTAAATTACTATTTTTCTTCTGATGTCACTTTAACAAGCTCTTTCTGGCAAGTGTCTCAAGAATGCCTTTTGGCAAGGCATAATCGGAAAATACATGTCTTGCATTGCAGCCATAACCTCTGACAAATTTTTGGGTTTGTTTTTACACCTGTTTAGTACCACATGCTTTTTAGACCATGTTGTAAAGAGCCATCCAGCTACATTCTCAGCCCTTGATGCCTTTCCTTATTTCATGGTAATCAAGATATTAGGTGGTGAAGCAGAACCCTGAGAATTCAGATGCGCATAATACAAGTAATGAATATCAGCAATAGTGCTTTATAAGTAACTGTTCCCTGGAGTCTCAATTTCTCAATTATTCAGATGAAAATTATTTGCTACTTTAGGAATTAGTGGTGAGACAGGATGGGAAATTTGGGCAAGAATTCCCTTAAATTACAGGGGGATTTGGGTTGGTATCCTGCATGTTTCTAACTCCAGCTAAGATCCCAAACCAGAAGAGGTTGTTTTCCTGATCAGAAGGAGCAGAAATCTTTTCTGAATGGCTGATTTCGGGGAGGGTAGGATTTCTGCTATTGTAGGTAGCAGAATTTCACAAGAGAAGTTCACAGGATTCTTGTGCAACTAAATCCTGACTTCAGTTTCAGACCTGAACTGTGCAACTAAATCCTGACTTCAGTTTCAGACCTGAACTGTGCAACTAAATCCTGACTTCAGTTTCAGACCTGAACTGTTGTCTCCCCTTTCTAATTCAAGTCCAAATCCTCATGGCACCTCCTTTGCTACCCCTGATGCAGAGGACACCACCCCCACAGTGCTCCATGCCCCAGAGCACAGTCTGGAGCTGGCAGGAGGTGATTGCAGAAAGGCAATCATGGAGTTGTTAGATAATGCTGTGATGTCTGTATTCAGTGATCACTGAGAGCAAGCAGGCAAAACCAGTAGGTAAAAAGCAGCTAAGAGCAAGCATCACTTGCTGTCTCATTGAGGCAAGCCTCCCCCTTCAAACTGGGAATCTTCTGCAGTTTGGAATGGAGCAGAGGCTGTGACTTTCTGACAGGCTACGTGTGGAGGCTAAAGCAGAATGCACTTTCTTTAAAAACAGAGAGCTAACCTAACCAACTGAACTCTTCTGCTTATTTTGCTTGGTTGGTTGTTTATTTATTTTCTGTTTTTAGCTCCTTGGTCACCTGCCACTTATTTTTCCTGACACCTACTTTCTGGGTCACTGGATGGAATTCTTCCTTCAGCTTGAGGTCATCTTTCTGGTTATGGTCATCATTATCCTGCAGTGCTTATCACTTTTGTTGACCTCCTTATTTACCAAGACACCTTCTTTGGTTCAGGATATCCATGAGATGCAGGTCCCAGGGACTAGGAATGTATTTCTTTACACTTGCCCTGATTTTGTATTTTAGCATCAGCTATTGGCAACTGTTGAACACCAGATACAGGGCCAGGTGCACTTTCAGTTTGATCCACTGTAGGACAGGATACTGGGCAAACCAGGCCATTCTTTGGAGCTATTTTTCCTACACTGTGTTCTTATGCTTACTCCATCTCTATTTGCTCCCATCACAAATCCAGTCTAATGTTCCTTTTCTGTTCTGAAGTTCTGGTGGTTTTTATCCAGTCCTGATTCTTCCTTTTTCCCATTCTCCATCGCTATGCTTTGCCTATGCCACTGACTCCACTTTTGTTGGGACACTATCATCATGTGCCCATCTCCTGTCTTTCTCTTGCAGTCCTGTGAACAAGACTGAGGTGATGCCAATCCTGTTCCCAAGAAATAACAATTTTCCTATTAGAGCATTCTCCTCAGCTCCTGGCCACAGAGATCCAGACCCTTGTCTCTCCAGCTGTCTCTCTACATGGCTACCAGTATAGAGAGACAGTCTTTTGTCATAATCTCTGCCAGGTACATATGCTTCCACTCCCATTCCTTGCTCCCATTACTTGATTCTTCCTCTCTGCTGGTTTTGACAATCGTCTGTAATCTTCTCCTTCTCTGACCTTCCCTAGCTCTTTTCCAGGCCCTCTTCCTGATTTTCTGATCATCCTTTGTGCTGTTTTTGAAGGCTTCTTGTCACCCCCACCCATCTTTCTGTCTCCCTACTCTGCTTCATTAAACGGTATGGAAGAAGGCATCACTAAGCCAGTTATCAGGGTCTAAAACTTGTGAGTTTTTTATGTCACTATGCCTCTATCAATTGTGTCTGGGTGTTTCAGTCTCCTGTGTTTCTCATGGTTTTCCCCATGTTTCACATCTATCCTATGTCTGCTGCATTTCCTTTGACAGAGATAGGTCCTCCTGTCTACTCACAGTTACCCTTATTTTTCAGTTTCTCTCTTCACTTCTCTATTGCACCTAGGATATTTTGACTTCAAAAGAGCTTTTAGCATTATTTTTTTTATAGATCTGCACTGGGAATCTGTCACTTCTCATTCATGAATACTGAGAACACCCATTTTCACCCCCAGACAGTTTTTTGCATCTCCTACCTACTTGTTTAGTTCTGAAATGGTTTTCATGCTTTTTACCATGCTCTCCCCTACTCCTGAGGAAAACTCCCAACAAACTTCCACAAATTATCCTTTGCATTGGGTTTGTGAGGCAGAGTTTTGGTAATAGGGTGGGGCTACAGGGGTGGCTCCTGTGAGAAGATGATAGAAGCTTCCCTGGCTCCAAGTTGGACCCCACTGTCTGAGACAATTAGCACCTCTGTGACCAATACATTTAAGAGGGGAAAACAAAGAAAACCGGCAGTGGAGAGAGGAATCAGATGTGAGTGTAACAACTCTGCAGAGGGTCACAGGGGAGCAGAGACCCCCTGTAATCCGGAGAGGGACCCACGCCAGAGAAGGCAGCTGTACCCAATGAAGCCCATGACTCAACAAGAAGCCTGCACTGCAGCAGACTGCTCCTGAAGAACTGCACCCCATGGAAGGAACCCACACTAGAGCAGTTAATGAAGAAATATAGCCCATGGGGAGGACTCTTGTCACAGAAATTTGGCGTGTTATCTGCCTGAGGGTAGGAAGGCTCTTCAGAGGGATCTGGACAGGCTGGATCAATGAGCTGCAGCCAATTGTATGAGGTTCAACAAGGCCAAGTGCTGGGTCCTGCACTTGGGTCACAACAACCCCCTGCAATGCTACAGACCTGAGGATGAGTGGATGGAAAGCTGCCTGGTGGAAAAGGTCCTGGGGGTGTTGGTCTACAGCTGACTGAGTATGAACCAGCAGTGTGACCAGGTGGCAAGAAGGCCGATGGCATCCTGGCCTGCATCACAAATAGTGTGGCCAGCAAGCATAGAGAAGTGATTGTCCCCCTGCCCCCCTGACCAGTCGGCACTGGTGAGGCCACACCTCAAATCCTGTGTTCAGTTACGGGTCCCTCACTTCCAGAAAGACATTGATGTGCTGGAGCAGAGAAGGGCAACAAAGCTGCTGAAGGCAGCACAAGTCTTATGAGGAGGAGCTGAGGAACGGGAGAAAAGGAGGATCAGGAAGACCTTATCACGGTGTTTTGACTCTGCTGACTACCTGTACATAAGGCCTCACAACCATGCTTGCAAATCATGAAACTCTTTATGTTAACCACTAAGGAAAGATGTTGTTTCATGAAAAGTGCCTCATCCATGCTGGAGCATGACCTTAAAGTACACCTCTCAGTCTTACAGGCAAAGGAAATTGGACTGGAGGGAAGTATAACATAAGAAAGACATGGACATGTTGGAATGAGTCCAGAGGAGGCCATGAAGATGATCAGAGGGCTGGAGCACCTCTGCTATGGGGACAGGCTGAGAGAGTTGGGCTTGTTCAGCCTGGAGAAGAGAAGGCTCCGGGGAGACCTTGCAGCCTTCCAGTACCTGAAGGGAGCCTACAAGGGAGCTGTGGGGGGACTTTTACAAGAGCCTGTAGTGATGAGACAAAGGGCAATGGCTTTAAACTGAAAGTGGGGAGGTTTAGATTAGATATCAGGAAAGAATTCTTCACAGAGAGGGTGGTGAGGCACTGGAACAAGTTGCTCAGAGAAGTTATGGATGCCCCCTCCCTGGAAGTGTTCAAGGCCAGATTGGATGGGGCTTTCATCAATGTTAACTAGTGGAGGGTGTCCCTGCCCATGGCAGGGGGGTTGCAACTGTATGATCTTTAAGGTCCCTCCCAACCCAAACCATTCTGTGATTCTGTGATTGTATGAACCACCTGAAAGGAGGTTTTAGAGAGGTGGATGTTGGTCACTTCTCCCAAGTAACAAGCAATAGGACAAGAAGAAACGGCCTCAAGTTATGTCAGAGGAAGTTTAGATATTAGGAAAAATATCCCAAGCAATAGGGTTGTCAGGCATTGGAACAGGCTTCCCAGGGAGGTGGTTGAGTCACCATTTATTATTTAAAACATTTATAGATGTGGTGTTTAAGGACATGGTTTAGTGGTGGACTTGGCCATGCTAGGTTAACGGTTGGACTTGACGTCTATTCCAATGTAAACAATTCTATGATTCTGTGATTCTATAACTGTCTCCCATGGCAGAGACTTTGTTTTTCTCCAAGTCAAGTCTCCTTGCCTGTGACCATACTGGGTGAGTGATTCCTCCCTTTCCTTGTCTTGACTCATGAGCCTTTCCTTATATTTTCTCCTTCCCATCCCACCAGGGGGAGGAGTGAGTGAGTGGCCACGTGGCAATTAATTGCTGGCTGGACCTAAACCACAATATCTTTCCACCCATTATCCTTCTTCAGCTCCCTTTAAAAGCCTTGGCAACAATTAGACTGCAAGCGCATTCACAACACACCATCTATTTTTCTGGCAAATCCAGACTTGCTGTACTCCCCATCTGTCTTTGTCCAAATGTCTTTGTTTTAATAATTCAATGGGAAATCATTTGGAGTTAGGTGTCCCTTGTTTCTTTTGCATTTTGTCATATAAGATAATTGGGTCCTAATTTGCAATTATAAAAATATTGCAATAATGTGATGATGCATGCGCCTGTTAGACACTCCATTTTATGAATACGCTGTCTCCTGTGACGTTACTATTGCGTAGTGATGCTTGTCACTACTGATTCAAGTACTGCAACATCTGTGATGCCAGACCATTATGAATCTTGATACGCAAAACTGAAAGGAAAATAAATCTCTATCAAGAAAGACTTATACATGGGAAACAGCAACCTCTGCAAGTGGTTCATTGCTGCCTCTGCAAAGGCTATTATATGGTCCTGAAACCATCTCTTACCATGTGATTGACTGGCTGATTGACAGCTTGTCTTCTATTGAAGGTCAAGTAATCTATCGCTGTCATAGCCAGATGACAGAAAACAACTGAAGGTAACATGAACCCTGCTCCAATACAGCTTTATTCTCACTTTTTCGTGATCGTGGTTTGGTTTCCTATTTGTCCTCCCATTTTGCAGCACTTTGTTTTAATTCCCTTCTCTACTTCTTCCTGTGACCTCTGTGTCACGTATTAGTCATGGAATGGTACGGAGAAGTAGAGGAGGAAAGAGAGGAGGAGGTGTGTTACTGTCTAGAAGACTGCTGCAAAAATGAGTCTTTCAGCATAGTCTGGGACTGGTCAGTATCGTGCATTGCCATGACTCAGAGCTAGGAATGACTCGGATAGCCTGATCTTACCTCACTTGTTGCAAGGAATCACCTTCTTGGTCCATTTTGGGCAGCCAGTTTAACCAGATCCTGTCTTTACTGTCCCTAACAACACCTAAGCCTGGGTGCAAGATTTTAAATCAGATTAAATTGTGTGCTACCTAATTTCCTCAAAGCATTACTGTGGCTGTGGGTTTGTGCTCTTTATCCTCACATGGATGGGAAGGTAATTCATCAGCTTATTGTACAGGGTTTCTAGAAATCTCTGTATCTGATTACTGCACACAATCAGTCACTCATCAAACTGCCTCTCTAGAAATCAGCGGAATTCACAACCTCTATTTTGGATCCACCCATTTTGAGATTGTAATCTTACAGATTTTCATAGTCTATGCAAAGTCCAAATGTTTAATTTTTCTGTATTTCCTAGACTCACTTTTAGTGGTGGTGATGCTGGGGGCTTGCTCTTTTACTACTCTTCCTGTCTGACACTCGGGGCACAGAAATCTAAATGTATAGCCCTAAGATTTATGCCAGCTTCTTCACAGAATCAATCACAGAATCATTAAGGTTGGAAAAAATCTCTAAGATCATCCAGTCCAACCATCAACCCAACACTACCATACCCACTACACCATGTCCCTAAGTGTCACGTCTACATGATCACTGAACACCTTCAGGGATGGTGACTCCACCACTTCCCTGGGCAGCCTGTTCCATTGCCTGACCACTCTTTCAGTGAAGAAGTTTTCCCTAATATCTAATCTAAACCTCCCCATTGAAATTTTTCATTTATGCTACAGAGCATTAATTCGACCAATTGCAAGACACTTAAAAATGCCAGTTAGTTTAGACACATAAAACTCTGCACTAAAAGAGTCAAAGTGAATGTTTAAAACTAAATGGTCACAATAGAAAATGTACTGGGTGTACTTCAGTACAATTCCTTGGCCTTGGAGGTGACAAAAAGAAATAGCTGAATGTTTACAGGAATATTCTTTGTTTTAAGTTAATGCTGCAAGATAAAGGAACAGAAAAAATTACTAATTTTTCCCTTTTCAGACTCGGAAATTTCAGTGTGAAAAACTGCTTTAGAAAATAAGGTTCTATGGAGAATGGAGCATAGTCTTTTTGAAAATAAGGCATACATACATTCATGGTTTGGCATGAGTGGGAAGGTATTAATTTAGAACTTGCTTGTAATTCACAGTTACTATTTTGGTCACTAAGATCTGAAAAAAATGCATTTGATGTATTTGCTAAGTTTGAGTTGGTAGATATGAGGGCTTATTTTTGGCTTTCATTTTCCTAGAAATATGAACCAAATTAAAACAAGTGATAAACTGTAATCTGTATACAAATGTCATGCTCTTTATCTGTCTGATGATGGAAAAATAATTAATCCCTAGAAGTATTCTGGATTGCTGCTGAAATACATTGATGGATATACAAATGAATATAACTTATCTGTCTATGAGGATGATGATAAAGAAACAAAAAATATTACTTTGGATGTTCATCAAGGACTTGAATCTGTTGATATTCATGTGGAAAAAGCTTACCCTCACACAGGCCTATTTGTGTTCTGGCATATATTTAGCTTGAAATAATTTCTTGCAGGCTACGTCACAATCTTGAAAGAGTATACTCTTAACAATGACAATGGTGGTGGACTTTTAATTACTACAGGTTGCCATTATTGTGCAACTACTCCTTCTTAAACTTTGTAAAGAAGATTGTGAAGAAAAAAAGATTTTTTTGTGTGTTCCATTTTCCTTGTATTCTTGACTTCTCAAAGAAACTATGTTCTTCAAAGAGTTTGGGGGTTTTCTGTATTCTTGGATGTGGTAAGATTTTTGGCAATAAAAGTCCATCAAGTTATAGCCCTGTGTGTTATTTATAGTCAGAAGCATTTGTAATTGCTTCTATTACACTTTGTTTCCCAATGTGCAGTGTGGGGAATACTCCTTTGTATCCCTGGAAACCTGGAAAACCTTATTTGGCCTTGTAGATTACCTTGCAGTTATTTCCAGATATACTCTACTGATGGTGAGCATTTCCCTGTCTCTGGCCATGAACCGATAGTCTGGGCATTCTGATTACAAGTAAGTGATGCACCTTTGCTGAAATCAGTAAAACACCATCCCTTTTCAGTCATTATACTGGGTGTATCATTGTGTTTCATCAAAGTATGGGTGAATGGAGATTACAACCCTGATTTCTGAGTGTGCTATTAGTCTGGGAAGTTTGCAGTTTATACTAATGTTACAAATGTGAAATACCTTAAAAAGATTGCATAAGAGCTAGAAGAATACAGCTTATGCAAGTCATCATAGATCTGGATGTACAGTAGCTCAGGATCTTATCCTTTTTAATATTTTCCCCAATGCCTTTGATGTGTTCTAGTGCTTACCATTTCCCTGACCTGAAAACTGAAGTCTGTTCCCAGACAGCCCTTCACTACTGATTGTGACTGAAGCTGTGACTACATGTCTAATGGCAAATCTGAGCTCCCTTTGCTCCCTCCCTGCAGACACATTATAATAAACAGTGTTCAGACATGTTCACGAAAGGACAAGATTTAAATGCCCTAGTTAAGTTGCCATACAGTAGCTGCAATGTTTCCAGTGAATATCAGTTTAGCTTCCTTTACAGTTTTGATACAGCACAACCCTGTTTTTCTTTTTAATGCTGATGACAGGCTACACGCTAGTGTCAGATTCATGCTTAGTGCCAAGTCCTGTAAGCACCTACTCAAGTCTATAGCTCAGTCCTTCAGCATTGGATGAAGGTATTCATGTCCTTCAGGAGCTGGGGGCTCCAAGGCACTGCCCTGTGTAGTCACTGCACCTGCCAGAGACTGGACATGCCCTTCAAGGAACAACAGGAAACTGGTAAATGAAGGCCCTTACTGCATCCCCAGTTACACTATTTCCCAGTGGGCTGAGCTTTTACACCAGCCTTGATAAATCTAACAGCATGATCTTGGCTACACACCACTGGAAGATGTCCCGTTGGTGAGAGGACTCTGTGTCGAGACTTTTTACCAGGATTACGTAAAAAAGGCACTTTAAAGGTCTATTTCTCACTGCCATGTCCCCTTCCATGCTTTTCTTTGTTTACCACTTGAGATCGCTCAGGGAAACAAGAGAGAGCATCTATAAGAAACACTTACTTGAAATAGAAGAAGATTCCCAAGGAAATCAACAGTGATGTTATAGACAAAGCATGGCCAACAATCGCCATATAGTAAAGTATGAATGCCATCTGCAATTTAACAAAAAGAAAAGGCAAACATGAACAACTTCTAAGCACAAATATTCTTTTTTAATATACTTTTAATATCAGCAATCTATTAAATAGAATAACTCAAGGTCTAAAGTTAAGTGTTTCTTACATGGGTTGATCTGTTTCTGCTGCACTGATGAGATCCCTGCTCATGCAAGGCATCCCTAACTTTTCTGAGCATTAGGACAGTGCAGCAGACATAATGCAGTAGGATTTTCAAAAGGCCATGACAAGTTTACACACACACACACAAAATTACTAAAGAAAATAAGTTTCTTCAAAAGGATTGGAAGAAAGCTTTCATGGTTTGAAAGCCGCTTAAACAACAGTGAACAAAAGCTTAATGGGCACTTTTGAAGATGAGTCAGTAGTTAGGTGCCCTCAGGAACGGTATCGGGGATGGTATTTTGTTCAATATATTCACCAGTGACCTGATGAGAAATTTCTAAGTTTCCAGGTGCTAATTAGGTCTTCCAGGTAATAGTGAGGAACTCCAGCAGGGCCTCATGAAGGGACAAGAAGATGCCATATGAGCTTTAATACAGAAAAAAGTAGGGTGATGAACCTAGGGATAAACTATCTAAACCCTGCCTACACAATGCAGAACTCAGAACTGGAAACCAAACTCCGTAGGAGACCTCGGAATCATCCTGGACAGTTCTCTGAATCATTGGCTTACTGTGTAATGACAGCCAAGAAGTCAACAAAATGTTGGATATCATCAGGAAAGGCACTGAGGGTAGACCCTCATTGTGCCTGTTCAATATTTACATTGCAAGTCTTAAATGCGTGTGTGTTTCTAGTCTCCACACCTCACGGGCATGGCAAAGCTAGGAAAGGTTCAAATAAATCAACTAAAATAGCTGAGGTAGAGAACCTGTGTTATGATAAATGGGTAGAAATGCTGGGATTCTCTCTTTGGAGAGAAGTCAGAGGGGGCTTGCCTACGGAGTCATGAAAGCAACAGATGAGATGAAAATTATCCTCCTGTTTCAGATTTAAACCAAAGTCACATTTACACCATCCTGACAATGTAGAATAACGTGTAAATATAATTCACCAATGATCTGAGTGTAAATACAATCACCAAATTATGGAAATCTATGCTTATGTATTGCAAATACCCCAGGTCCCTTAATATTCCTTCACAAAGACTAACCTCAGCATTGCTAGTGAGCACAAATGCTTGACAACAAGTAGGAAAGGCTTCCAGATAGCTACATGCAAGTCCATGTGCACCCCAGAGGACTGCTGGTTATTCAAACTATCTACCTTTCAGTGTACAACTGCTAAATCAGGTCAACTGTATATCTGGAACTCGGCAATAGCATTTTTGATTACTCCATGTAAGCTTACTATGGTGCCTGCTCAAAAATTCTTTCCAAATACAACAACAAAGAGCAGAATGGACTGTCAGCTAACAGCATATGGGCTACCACTCCATTTTTATGAACTGGCAGCAATATTTTTTCTTAAGCGATCTGTCCTGAAAGTATAGCATGTTGGTATTTCCAGTTAACTTCAAACAAATAATGAACTATTGCATTTCATGGGGCCTACAAGGAAGCTGGGAGGAGACTTTTTACAAGGGCTTGTAGTGATAGGACAAGGGGTAATGGATTTAAATTGAAAGCAGGGAGATTCAGATTAGATAGCAGGAAGTTCTTCACAGAGAGGGTGGTGAGGCACTGGACCAGGTTGCCCAGAGAAGCTGTGGATGCCCCCTCCCTGGCTGTCTTCAAGGCCAGGCTGGATGAGGCTTTGAGCAACCTGGTCTAGTGGAAGGTGTCCCTGCCCATGGCAGGGGGGTTGGAACTAAATGATCTTTAAGGGTGCTTCCAACCCCAACGATTCTATGATTCTATTCTATGATTAATTTCTGTAATTCTTGAACATGCAATCTGTCATGTCCCTTCTGACATAGAGGATTTGTAACACACTGACTCACCTAATTTTTATCTAATGAAGATTTTGTCATCCTGGCCTTAGAAAACTTCCAAAATAACACCCAAATGGTTTTGTTTGTTTGTTTGTTTTTTGTCCCTCCAGAATTCTTCACTTGAGGAAAGAGAATTCTTTAATAGAAATGCATCCTACTCATTTAATTGTATTATCTGTAGGTACATGGAAATAGTCTACAAATGAAACATACTCCTGTTTTTGAAGACTCAGATTAAAGGTCATAATCTGACTTGGCACTTCTGTAAAGACAGATTCTTTCTGCATTTTCCATCATTTTTTGTTTCAGAAGAATCTTGATGTACGTATAATTTTCCTTTGTATTCTCTCTGCACTTTGCTTGAATCATGTTCAAAATTGTTCTTCTGGAAGGCACGGATAATAGGTAACAGAACTACATTTTTTGCCTCCTTACAAGGGCCAACGTCTGGAAAAATTATGTTTTTACGGTGCTTCCATTTAATGCCTCTGTGAGCTCAGATTGTTACTACTGTTCTCTGTGCCACATAGGTGAGCCCCATTTTACCATAACGGTTTTTCACACTGCAAAAACCTTTAGAATTCAGCTCCTGTCTAGTCCAGTAGACTTTTCCAATGCCCTTTAGGCTGGATCATTGCTAAATGTAAATACATACTGTTGTTTTGCTGCATAAAAAAAAATCCTCCAACACAACCCCCAATTCAAATCACTTTTTGACTCTTTTCCTTCCACAATTCCAAGTAGTCACTAATTGTTCTGACACAAATCTGTAAGCAGATTTCCTTGGAGCTCCACTCACATTTGAGAAATATGTTTATTTTCATGAGCTTCCCTAATTTAATTTCTTTTTAAGCATTTCTCAGATTTCTCCCTCCTTGTTTCTTCTGGTGCTTTTATATTTAATTCTCCACTTTCAGCTTAGCAACTTGATTTTGGAACTATTCATGCAAATGCTTGATTCATTACTGTAAATAGTCTCAGTGACTTCAGTCAAACTGTTCAAGTCAAATGTGTTCAGGCTTGTAGCATTTTCTGGATTAATGGTACCTTCATAAATATTTCTTTTCAAAGGGAGTGTGTACATGGTAATGTTCTTGGCTTAAGGAAAAATAATTTTAACTTACGTTAATATTTCTAGCCCTGTAGAGAAGACGTCAATAGCTTGGAAGATACTTGTTACAGAAAGAAAAATTGAAATTCTAAAGGATCATTTTATAACTGTTTGATAATCAGGGAAAATGATAGGAATTAAAAAACACATTTGAAAAATACTGCAAAACTTGTCACATGAATTGCTACTAAATTATCCACTCTGTAGCAAACCTATATTTAGGTTTGATCAGTCATCAATTCATTTTAATAAACTAAAATTACAAGGACAATGCTATTAAATTCTTGTGCAACACACAGAGCTGAAAGATGAGCACTATTCTGATCTCCCTCATATGTGTCTTAATGCTAGTCCAGCCCCAAACCATTCCCAAACAATCACTGCCTTTTTAACTGTAGCATACCTTCAATTTTTCAGAGGTGAAAGAGTTGCACAGGGTATAGTTGGACCAAGTTCGGTTGCTCTCAGGATGGCGGAACCAGTTTCCAGTTTCATCACAGTATTTTGAAGCCCTCTCTGATGATAAATTGCAATAATAGTTATTTTAGCATATCCATATCACACATCTAAAAATCCATAAAAAAGAATTTCTGTTTGGAAATAAAAAGCCTGTGTAACAAAATCCAAAGTATTTTCAACTTGTGCAATTAATATACACTTGTCTGTTTCGGTTTTCTTTCTCAGATGGTATACATGCCTCCTTTTGTCCTGAATAAATGAAGTAGAGTAAATATACCCAGCCTTCATTCAGATGCAATTATTTATGTGATAATAATTCTTTTACAGAGGATGTTGAAAGCTGTTCATGGAAAAGGAAGTAACATTAGGCCTGACGCTGAACCTGCCGGAAGTGTGCAGAGGCAGGCAAACACAGTGGTGGCCGCATGTTTTTAGTTCTCGTCCCAACCTGCAACACTCATGTTGGAAAATGGATGTGCCCACTGGCTAGCATAAAAATATAACTTCATGTTTTCAAACCTGACACTCACTAGGACATGCTGGTATTCATATACAGATGCTGGTGGACTGAATCTTGCAGCAGGGTTTCAGGTATCAAGGGAAATAATTAGTTAAAAGTACTGTGTAGAGAAAGGGCAGCAAGCAGTGTGTAAACTGGAGCCTGGGTGCTGGAGATGGTGACAGCCCTGTCACCAGTCATGCACTTATGCAAGGGTGTGGAAGAGTCCTACCCACTCTCTGTGCCAGCTAAATCCTGCCAGGGGTGCGAAGGAGCACTGCTCATTTCCCTCTGAGCCTGCGAAGCATTGCAGGCACTGGGAGAAGCAGCCTTTCTCATTTTGGCGCAGGTCCCAAGTGTCCAGTTTAATTTAAAATGGCTGCAGAGTTCTCTGTTTAAATAATCCGGTGTGTATTTGGCCTCTCCTTGCGTGTCTCTGGGGCTGGTAACTGCTCTGCAGGTGGCTCTGGCATCCTTCCTGAAAGCCCTGCCACGTGGATCGCTCTCCAGGTTCGCGTTCCTTTGTGTGTGTCCTTGCACTGTGGCATGGGGACAGTCAGGGATTCAGCACCATGCAGCTCTGAGGGATGCCTGCACCACAGATGGGTGCTGTGTCTGTGCCCTCCCGGCTGCGTTCACATCTCTGCCTAGGAAACCCTGGATGCTGGGGCACAGACAGTTGCTTTTATTCACCTGTCAAGTTTTGGACTAGTTCCTTTGGCCTTTCCTCAAGCATTAGCCACATGGAACTCACTGGAAAGTTTGCCTGAGTAACAAAGGCAGGGTAAGATCAGAAACTTAAATTATTTGATATTTTCTTAGATAGTGGCACAGATTTTTTTTATGAAAAATACAGTTTTTCTAGTCTGACTTCTGAAAAAGTCTAAAAAGTCTGTCTTGGCTTCCCTTTGCCTATTCCAGCTTCATAATTTTACTAGCTTTATACACAAATTATCAACATTTCCAGTCAATACACTTTGCATTTATTTTTCTTATTCAGATCTTATGATTAATAGGTCAATTATTTTGGAGTATTCATATTCCATCTATACACCCTAAGGAAAGCAGGAAAGAGATCCATCATACTGGCAAGGTAAGGATTATATAGACTGAACTCTCTAACTAGAAATACACTTCATGTAGTGCTATTACAAAAAAAAGACAATCCTCCAGAACAGCATACTTTTGAAAATACTGAGTTTCAAATCATTGTTTTGGAGGAGTTGTTGAAAATAAATACATGCACCAACACCACCAAGAAGAACAGTACATGTTATCTCAGTCTTCCATCACTGCAGCTTGGAGATCATCTCAGACTGCCTGTGTAGCAATGTTCCCGTTGTACTCATTGCCAGATATTATCTAAAGCTGGAAAAAGTTTTCAGTCATAGATAAAAGATTAATGGTTAGGCTACCACGGAACACAGTGTACGAATATCGTACCTACTATCCCATGCACTCTGCAGAGCACACGGCTTTTGCTAATATGCTGTAGAGCGTAATGATAATATCATCTATCATCTCTGTACTTCAGTGCCTAGGTAGGCAGTCTGCCGAAATTTAGTGTGGCCTCTCTAAGTTAGAGACAAACCTGTTGCCTCATACTTTTCCTTGAAGGCAGACAAACACAACTGATCCTAGTCTGGAAGCGGCCATGGCCCACAAATTTCTTTCTCTGATGTTGTCAGAATATGGGATTGAAGGACCTGCCTCCCCACACTCCATCCCAGTGACTCAAACAGGCCAAACGTCTCTTCTAAATCTATGATTTTATACAGAAATAAAGCAGTGAGTCTGTAACCCAACCACTGTTCTACTGCAAGTTATAACATAGCTGCCCAGTAGCAGGGGAGGGATTATGAACCTGGGCATGTGTTGGGTTTTATGCCAATCAGAAGAATCTTGTAAGCTCTGAAGAAACACACATATGTGTAAGGATGGGTAAGGAAATACTAGCAAGGCAAAATGGAGGTGTGTGCTTTAAGATTATTCAAATACTATGTAAACACTAATTTTTTAGGCTTGCTCTATACCCTATCAGCTTGGATAGGGCACTACTTGGGCATCACATTACTCAAAGGGGAGGAACAGTGACATTGCATGGGATTCATCGCACCTGACTTTAGCAATCTGAGTTACGCAATTGACAGGCAGTTGTGCAGGGGCTCTGCAGTTAGCTTAGAAAGACAGACGCTTCAAGAGCTGTCTGGGAAAACTGGACAAGAGAAATCCTGTCCACGAGGGCAGTTTCATGGGAGTAGAGAAGGGATCTAAAAAGATAAACCAGTAGTAATATTTTTGCATGTGGTATTGCTTGTGCTACCAATAGTGCTTTTATGTATCATATTTTCATTTAGAAAGCTCAGTCAAATATATGTAACAAATATCTTAATCCAATAACCCTGGAACAAACATGATAGCTCTATCAATCAGTTTTTTTACAATTAGACAACTCTATAGCTAGCAGATGTTAAAAGAGTTAACACCTTTTTTTTTTATTTATTGTTGAGTTATAAGCTGGAGTAGAAATAAGTTTTCCTCTGTTGCAGTGCGTGTTCAGCACATACCAGACATTGGATTGTTTGCCATTGTTTGGACAGACCAGTTTTGCAGATGAGAGGGTAGCTGATGCAGCACATCTGCTCTACTTACATCCTCAGTAAAATATTCTAGGAGAAAATTTTTTAAAACCAAAAAAATCATCTGGTATAATACAATGGAGACCCTAGAAAACTTCAGTTTCAGTGCCCTAATAAGTGAAGAATTATCACTATCATCAGAATGCCTCTGTCAGCAGAACTGGTATCTGTACGATAAAGTTATATTGTGCATTTTGAGGATAAGAATTGATTTTCAAATATAGCTGTCAAGCTTGCTAAGAAGCAGGACAGCAATATACAGAAGGGTAGGAGGAAAAGAAGCAGCTGGACAAGGAGTTCAGGTTTGTTTTATTTATCATTATCTAAATGACATCACTTCAAGACAGGAAAACAGGGCCAGCAGAAATACAGAGCTGGCTTTTTTAGGCAGAGTCAGGGAATTTGCATTTGTGGCAGCTAGAGAAGGGCTCTCCCAGGCCCAGCTCTTCCTACACTGCTCTGGGTGCTGCAGCAGGTCCCTGGGGTCCTGCCTACTGAGGATGCTGCTCTGTGCTTGCTGTGAGCGCAGGCACATCACTCTGCCAAGACACGGTGCCGAGTGGGAAGGAGTACATGATGGACTGGGTATGCAGGAGGAGAGACCACGACTGAAAAGGTGCTTAAATTAGGGGATGCCTGAGGATGCTGCCTCCTTGCCTGCCAGGAGCTGGGGAGGTGGAAGGAGCTGCAGCTGCTGCTGTGACCCAGAAGGTATCTCTTCCTCTCTGCTTTGTGGAAGGCCATGATTTCTCATCTGCAATGACTGCTCTTGTCAGTTTGGCAACCTACTCAGCCTAACGCTTTGTGCATTTTGCCAGCTGTGAGAAGGGTGCACCTGTGTCCCTCAAATCCAGTCCCTTGCAGTCATAGGCGTCACAGCTGGTAAATCCAAAAGGGTCTGCAAGAGCTATTCAATCTGTTCCCCCTGCTCCTGGATGGAGCATTTATCCTTATTTCTGTAAGGACGTGCCGTAAGAAAGACAAAGCCATTCAGAGATCACAGTATGGCACAAGAGCTGTGGAGAATACAAATGCCACAGTAGCTCTGCCCCCTCTGCTGCCTTGATCCAGAGCAAAAGGACCTGACTCCTAGTCAGTGTCAGAGCAGGAAGGCAAGGCTGTACTTCCATGTCTCTCAGTTGTGAAAGTTAACAGCATATTAATCATTATCTGAGGTAATTGCGTCTGGATACCCATGGATGTGGTTCCAAACTGCGCTTCTAGACACTTTGCTCTTGGAGCCACATCAAGAGTTATGAGTAACTGGTTTACAAAATGGAACCAAAGGCAGAAACCCAACAAAGTGGAGAACTGAGTGGAGTTTTGCGAAACGCAGCCTTGGATCACAGAGTTGGGCTGGGCTTGCTCCCTGGTGGGGTGGCTACTGCTCTTAACCACTATTCTTTGCCAAAGAGGAAAGAGAGGGAGAGCGAAATGAAAAGGTATGGCTGCCATGGCGCACATGCAGCTCCACTGCTGTGTAACTGCACCAAATTAATCCTGACAAAATGCACCGTGCAGGGAGTGTGAGGTGGGTAATACAACACTCCCCTGCCACAAATCCACCAGTCTGTGTACGGCACAGGAGGCTCTGCTCCTCCTGCTGCTCCCAGTATATCTGCCCTGCTAGAGGGCCATTATATGCACAATATTTTTCCCTTGTTAGCAAGAATACTACCAGCATGAATTACATACTAAATTCCTATCAAATTCAATTTCTAGCAATTATAATGTGACCAGAAACCATTTCAAAGGGATTACACCAAAGATTAACCTGGATAAAATATGAATATAACATACAAGCTAAGAGAAACTGTGCATGTTGCCTGAATAGGGCAGTATAAAACAGCCCTGCTCAGAGTTTCACAGTCAGGAGCGGATGAGACAATGAGTTTCCTGCTGTTACTGGAGTTAAAGCGGTAGGTCTTGGTATGTTTTCGAGACAAATTGATTTATTTTTATGCATTATCACATTGAGCGTGATGGTCATTGTGAGAAAGAGATTGCTACAGGAGGCAACAGTTGTTTATTGAAAAGGACAAAGTTGTCACAGCTTGTAGAGAGGGGTTTCTGTTTGTCAGCTTCAAGATCCCCATTTCCTTTCACAGGGTAGAGCTTCCCCAGGTGAAGAAAGAAGTTTGGAAAGCCCTAGCTAACTGAACAGACTAGATTATCCCAGCAGTCCTTCTTTCTGTCAGAACACAGATTTCTGTTTAGTATGAACTGATGTAAGTTCAGAGAAATAAGTGGGACTACATCTGGCAGTTAGTTTTGAAGTTATCAGACAAAAAACGAACGGAGCACCAAGTGTGTTCTTCATTATTTTCCTTCTGGGCCCTTTTCTTTAGAATATGATTTCACCTTATTTACTTTCTAACATAGTCTAGCAATTTCTTATTGGCATTGATGCTGAATGTTGTTGGGGATTCAGACATGGAGAACTGGTATACAGCACCCACAGGTGCAGAAGGGAGTAACATCTGATCCTATGTTCCCAGATGTTGCTTCTCTTTTCCAGTTATGAAATATGTAATCAAATCACAAAAGAAAGCTGAATGATGTAATTTTATTTCAGCACCCAAAGCTATACTTGGTGTCAAGCTAAAGTACCTTAGCCATCAGTGAGCTGATACACAGTGGTTCTGCAAATCTCAGTGCAGCCCAAAGCAGTATATACTTGTTTCAAAAATCCATGGGGTTAACTTGCACGCCTAAAATACCTGCTGAGGTGATTTGCTATCATGATTTTTGGGGAAGGAAACCTGACAGGCACTGCAGTTTTCATCTTACGAAATCATTATTCGTTAGGATGAATTTTCTCAGCAGAAAATCTAGCTGCATTTTGTTTAGCAGGCATAAGTTACCAAAGGAAATAATGACTTGTGACACAAAACCTGAATGACTTCTCAGGACAGCTAAACCTGTACTTTTTGCTTTCAGCCACCTCTAAGTGGCATCCATTTCCACTTAGCAGCTGAAAGACTTCTCATCACCCCCACGATTTCTTGTCTCCCTCCTACTTTCGTAAGTCCCAGTGTGACAGCCACCTGCAAAGCAAAGGCTGGCTACCTGCTGGTTTGATGCCAAAGCTGCAACGTGTGCTTCGGAACTCAACATCTGCTCTAGGAAAGTGGTTCTGGCTTAACCAGAGGATGCTGAGCTGCTGCTGAGCCAGGGAAATGGTGCTGACTGACTGGGATGCAGGCAAAGAGGCTGACAGGTGCTGACAAGGAGAATATGCTAGGGATATGCTAGGGAAAATAGAGTCCAGAAAACCACAGATACTGCTTCTAAACAGGACAGCAGAGAGAACTGGACAGCAGAAGGAAGTTAATAACTGGAGGATGTGTTTCTTCCTATGGCTGTGTACAGAGAACAGGAATATTAAAAAATTCCCAGATCTGTAAGTTTTAAAGTGTGGCAGAGTAGCCACGGTACGCACACACTGTGGGCCAGACTCTGCAGCACACATCTGTACATGAAGGAGTGATTTGCAGTCAGTCGTAGGAGCTACAGACCTTGCCACTAATAAGCATTAATAAGTGGAGAAAGGTGCTTCTCCATGGATGAATTCAAGTGTTACTTTGAGGAGTGCTGTTGTAGTGGAACAATTAGTTCAGAACAAGTCACTGGAGACAAGTGGAGCAAGTGGAAAAGCTGGGAATAGGTGGCTTGGGAGCAAGCAGGAGAGTGGCTCTGTAATAACTCCCATGTACTGAGGGATGAGGACCTTAGGACATGCGGAGACTTCTATGATCTCAGGGCTGCCCAACGCCCACTTTTGCAGGCATTAACTGAACAGTGCATGAAGTATACATAAACTAGGACTGCTAGTGCCACTATGGTTTTTTCCTGTGAAAACCGTGGAGGCAGGGAAAGCACAAGCCTTCTAGGAGATTGTCCTAATTATCAAAGGGGCTGTTAATACGTGGGGAAGACATGAACAAAATGGGGGCCAGAGTGGCAGGTACAAACCCCATCCCAGAGGCACCTCTGCCATGCATGTAGGAAAAGGCTTGTGCAACCTCAGGAGCTAGAGCCTTGAGCTTTCTCCTGAACATGGGCCCTTCTGCCTGGGAACTGAACCAAGTTTGGCCAATACTTTTAAAATGCTATTCTGGCACCTTTTGTGCAAATAGCCTAATGGTTGAGGTATGGAGAGGGAAACTCACGTCAAAGGTGCCCCCCTCCCCTCTCCAGTAGAAGGTCTCAGCTCTTCAGCCTGTCTTCCCATGGGTTCTCAAATGATTAGCCATGAGCGTGACTCTGCTGTAAGGCTTCCCTGTGAAAACTATGTCAGAAATTGAAATCTATACAGAATACAGGTCAAAGCTAAATGTGTCAGAAAGCAAAAAAGACTCACAATAAAAAAGAATCACAAGTCTTTGTGATTTAGTGCTCACCATGTGTCTCAGGGACATAACCTGCTGTAAAGATTTGTGGGGTAGATCTCAGGGTATTCCCACAAGCCATGCTCACAAGTGAGCTCATTTTCCAGGCACACAAATCCTTCAGTCCATCTGTCCAATGCCTCCTTCCACTGGAAAGGAGGAGGTTCCTCCACCCAAGGTAGGATGCAGGTTTGACTCTTCTCAGACTGGGGCTAACATTGGAAGTTTCCCACTTGCTGTGTGAATTCTCTAATTGTGGATAGCTTGATTGATAAAGAACAGAAATATCGATCAATCTGGCTGCTACTGCAACTGGGATTCAGTGAAATGCCTAAGGGGTCTAACCCAGCCCAGAAACTCCTGTTTCTAAATAGGCAACAAGCTCAACAAAACCAATAGTTTTAGCTAATGGTACTAGGTAGTTAATTCACAGCTGTGCAATAGTTAATTTCCTTACTTTTAGCTGGACACACACATTCTGGTTTAAGCTTGTTGAAAATTTTTAGATTTATATACCCTTGCCCCCAGATACTTAGTTTCATAGTTTTTAACTGCAATTGGTACACCATTTTTATGCTGGATTCAGCACTGTGGCATCAAGCAACACCTCTAAGCAACATGTCCTGAGTGTGGAACACACAACCATTGTCTTTCTTCAAACAATACTCTTTGTGGAGTTATACTTGTATCCAATACTTCCTCCTATCTATTTAGCATTACTTCTGTCCTTGATTTTTCCTTTCGTTTTTCCTTTTAAATGTTTTGAATTACTTCTCTTAGTCTACATGGCTGCTAGTATTTGCACGAAGAATTCAACAACTGAAGCTTGGAGACAGAAAGGGTATTATTTCTGCTCATCTTCTTCTATAAAATGGTATTTTCTGAATAAAAACTGAATAAAGAACATGCTGATATATATTTCATGCACATTAGCATTTTCTCTTCATTATAAAAAATTAGAATGTGGTGTTAAATGTCTTGATATTATAAATAAGTAGTTAATATTTTCATAAACTAGGTTCCATAAATCCATGGGATGTATTTACAAAAATATAAATAAATATAAAATATTTTTTAAATGAAAAAATATTAATTAGGCTATCCCAAAACTTGATAGATTTTAATTTCAGCCAAACTATCTGAGATTTCACAATGCTGCAAAAATGCCACTGAAAATTCAATGGCATGCATGTTCTGAAGACTTTCTTCGAAAGATAAGAGGATAAAAAGAAATACTGTACCAGTTGGATCAAAATCTGGAAAATAATCTGGACAATTCTGAGCAGTGATCCTCCCCGCAGGTGTGTCGTCCCAGCACAACCAGCCATCCCAGGTTCGGTTACAGAACAGACCTGGACATTTAAGAGGAATGCAGTAGTTAATTCAACATGCAGTCACTCCTGAACCTACTCTGTCCTGGCCTCTCAAAGAATATTCCTGTCTGCAGACAACCATGTTTTCTTTTCGCAATAAAACCGCTTGTTATTGCTACACTTTGAGTGGAATTGAGGTCCTACAAGGTACTTGTTTTTGCTGACCAGGTGTTAGTGGTGTTCATTTTACTGGAAAGCAATGTTTTAAAGCCTTTTGAACGGAACTTGGGATGTAGGGTCTGATCCTACAAATTCCTCCTTTTGATCCTCCTTCTGTCCTTAGCCATAAGCATGTACACTAGTGGCACCCAAAGACCTTATAGACACCCGCTTTTCGTTTCACATTCTGCTGTGCAGCAGGTCTGAAAATCAAGTGTTTGGAATGTAAAGGAAGGGCTTGCAGGGATGTCCCAGCTAAGTGCAACACTTGTGCAGACAGGTCCCTGCAAGGTTGTTGCATTGTCCAACACTAGAGGTTGGTGACACAGCCACAGACCCAGTGAAGCAGGTGCAAGTCGTATCTGTAACAGGCGAACTCTGCCTGCTGCTGTTGTCTGGGTAGGCATCCCATGATCCTGTCCACATCATGCCCCTCTGGTATGGTAGCACTGTCAAGGCTGTGTCCTTTTCCAAGGACTGTTCCCAGCCCCAGAAACGATGGCAGTACTAGGGAGGCAGAACACAGCTCATTCCTGGTTCCCATTACAGAGATGTTACGTACTATGGTTCACAGAAATTGTGCTGTAAAACTGCTTGCTTTAACATGATTTCCAGGCTCACTGTGGATTTATTCAAGCAATCCATTAAATGACCCCCTATACTTCATTGTTATTTTCCATTTAAAATCAATTTGTGTTGGGGAAAGGTATTTATCATCATGACCATCAGGTTAAAGTGAGAAGACACGTCTTGCATTTTTTGCTCTCGTCCCAAGGGAGTTTGAATTGCTGCTATGACCACGTAGGTTATTTTTGAAAGAATCTTATGGAAGGCACCTAATAACCGCTGAATCCTAATAAATTATGGTCAGCTAATTGCCTCTGGTGGCTTTGAAATTATCCACAGATAGGCTTTCTTACTGAAGCAAGAAAGCTGTAAAAAGACATCTGAATTGTTCAAATTTTTATTAACAACTGGTTTTAAGTCAAAATAGTTGTGGTTTAAAAATGGAAAGCATAATACTTTCTAAATCACTTTTTCCAGATCAGATGTCTAGCAAAAAAGATATTCTTATGAACACTTTTTCTTGTTAGCTAAGATTTTATGCACATCTATTTTTCCATTGTCAAATTAAATTTGCTAATGCTACTTGTTCACTTAATTAATTAACCATAATACCAGCAGTATGTTATATTTCCTTCAGGCATTCTCATGCTCTTCTCTAGCTTTGAGATGTATCTGAAAAACTTTCAGGAATAATTTTGTAATAGCAAGAAGAAAAAGAGAAAATGTTTTCAACATGAGCTGGTACATGAAGGACACTGCAGAATGGGTTTGGTAGGAATTTCTAGCTTTAAATCCTTTGCCTTGCCTAACAAAGAAAAAAATCACTGATGTTGATCTGTACACAGCGGAATGTGTCTTTCGAGGTAAGTAACAGGACATATATTCACACATACATCCATAAATGCATATACACACAAACACATACATAGATATACTCACACATACATATATGTGGTTTTTAAGTGCTGCAGGAAATAAGACAGTGTTAGTAAAAAAGAAAAGGAGGAGTTGAACACTATATTGTCGTATCACCGGCTAAAAATCTTACATTTTTGGATGGACAGGGATTGCAGGAGTGCTGCCCTGTTCTGGACCAATGGTCAGGTGTTCCTACATGCCTGAGCTCCTCATTTTACTATTTCTTTTGGATTTAAGGTAATCAATTCTACCTTGAAATAGACAAGATATGTATGTGTACATGTTCTGTTACTTTGGCTCTGCTGACACATGGCCATTTATAATGCTGCCACAGCTCACCTGTATTACACCATCTCTCTGGCTCCTGATTGTGAGATACTATGAAGTCCTCTGCAGCCCACTACCAACAGCTTTGAGTCCTGGGATTGTGAAGGATTTAAACTACCTTTATGCCAGTCTAGAAATAGACTACATACCAGGGAAAAATTAAACCAGGGAAAAATTAAACACATCTCAGGTGGTTCTGTAAAGTTGAACCACTGGGCTTTTCTGGGAACTTGAGTGTTAGACTCTACTACTGTTTGTGCTGAAAATGCATATCCAGTATGCCCCTTCAGATCACGTGTTGGGCTTTTCTGCTCAGGAGACACCCTTACGCTTGTACTTTGCATTAAGGGAATTTTCCATCTCATCCCATCCTCCCTTTCAAATTTGCAGCCAAGAGACTTAGACGCTTGTCCACTTCCAACCCTTTATGTTGGAGGGCTGGTGATGATTCTCTAATTCTGTTGAAAATGCAACTTCAGTAGTGTTGGCATAATTCCCTAGTCATCCATTGTCTTCATTCTGGGTTATAAATGAACTAAGTGCATGTTGCTATGAACGTAACAGTCACCAGTGGCACCACTTAAGTCTAACTCCCAGTTGAAGAAATGCAGGAACTGCTGCGCTATGCCTGATGGCTGCAGGTCTGCCACTGCTGTCCTCCTGGGACAACGCTGCCCTTGAGAGCGCTACCAGGAATTCATGTGTCGTGAGACATGTGAATTCCCAGCTCATGCTGGAAAATCCCTTCAGTCCTTTACAACTGATCACATGAGCAGGGTGCAAAAGAAAGGTGAATCCAGCTGAACTGTCAATGGATGCAAAAATTACATATTTATAGAGCTGGAGACTAAAAGAGTAATCTGAGCAGACAGCAAGTTATTTCCCCCTCAATAACTTGTTTATTTCCTCCCTCAATAAAGGTTTGTTTATGTCTGAAACATGATGCTGTCTATCCCATAAGCTTGTTCAAATACTTGTGGGTTTCCCCATTACTGGCCTGAATGAAAACCTATTTGAAGCAATGGGAAACTCTATAATAATTCCAAAACATTTCTGCATCAAGACCTGAGTATCTTGACATTTAATGATTCTTTGAGTCTTACAGAGCCCAGTAAAATCTTTGGAGTAGAGAGCTGTAGAAATGTCTTTGTTCTTGTATTACAAAAAAATCCCACATTATCTCCACCCCATCTACTAGGTTGGGGGTTTTTAATCATGATTTTTAAATATGTTTTCTCTTTAAGCTGTGTCCTCAGTATCTCTGTTCTTTACTTGCATAAATCCCCACAATCCCTCCAATAATTTTTCTCTAGCCCTCTCAGAACTTATTCCCTATTTTCTGTGAGAAAAAGTGACCAGAACACTCAGTCCCAACCAGAAATGCTGCTTCGTTTATACTGTACGATTGCAGCACCACTATTACTTGTAATTTCCCTTCTTATTAATCTTAATGTATGCCTCATATTCAGTAAAGATGCATGCTGAGTGCTTTATAAACCTCTTTTGCTGGTGTTACCGCTGAATATAGAAAACCTGGAACAGCTGCGTTGGTACAGAGCATGACAGCTATCAGTCAATACACAAATGACAGAAAAATGAAACTGTGAATGAGGCAAACAGAACAACATTTATATCTAAGCGATGACTGTTCACAATCAGATCTTTGTGTGAACCTGTGGAAAGGTTATGGAGAATGCCATTCCCTAGGCAAGAACAAGGGATATTCAAGCAGTAAAACACTGAGCCAGAAACGTAGATGACTGAGGTACCGTCAGCATGGGGAGGAAGGAAGAGCTGTTCATTCCTTAGGTTGGTTCCAGGCTTTTTTCTTTCTTTGCACTAAAGAGGATGCTAAGTGTGAATTTGACTTCTGCTTACGGGAAGGAAACTGCACCCCAAGGAAGACCATGGGCTAGTATACAGAAGAAAATGTTTCTTTGTAGCTATATTAGCAAGTGTGGCAATACACAGACACTTATAAATCTTTTTTACCTTTTTTCTTATATGGAGGAGCTCTGTTCATCCTCTCATAGCATTTGAACTGTGAATCTATTATCTTCTGTCGTATGACTGAATTTTCAGTTACTGCAGGTTCTAATGTAGGATCAGTATAATTTACAGTAGAAGAAAGACTTGGAACGATTCTCTGTACAGAAAGGAAAAACTGTTAGTACAACTGAATAAACCAGGAGGATAAAATAAAAAAAGCAAGGATCAGAAATCTCTAATATGCATTCCTCAAAGGCCTTTTATTTGCACATATGTTTAGCATTACGATTGGCCTTATACTGCTTGCAAAGTAAATCCTGAATTTTTACTAGCTCAGTTTAGTAGATTTTAACCAAACCTTTTTTCTTGGCAAAAGAGAGAACCATTAAGTACTTGATAAAGTCTTCAAAATCTTTTCATTTAGTTTAGTGATCTGCAAAAAAATTTTGTCTCTTCCCAAAGTTACACCCACATATTTCATTTTGCTTGTGCTGTTTTCTCTTCAGACTGCCCAGACAAAATACCTCAGTGCCACAGCCTCAAAACTGATTATTTCATGTTTTATGTCACCTGCTTAGAGTTCCTTCAACTGTTAAAGTCACAGAAACACAGGGCAGTGAGCTTAAACCTCACTACCTGGCCTTAGTTCCTAGTTAAGTACCTAAGAAAAGTGACCTTAAATTTAAGAGTCTGAATAACAAAGTCCTCTTTTATCAACTGGCATCTTCTGACTTCTCCCACTCTGAGCTGCCTGAAGGGCAAAGGGAAGAATCGTTGGCTCTGGAAGGCAAAAATGTCAGGTATAAAGGTCAGCTATCTTTTATTTTTCATCCATCCATCCACCTGTCTGTTGCATAGCACAGGTTTGCGAGCCAGGGTGGAAATGAGACCGTGGAGCTTTAGTTAATTCTGTTCTGCTTAATCCTGTATCGGGACACTTCTCTGCACACAGGTGCTAGAAAAGCATTATTTCCCCTGCTTCCCCAAGCAAAAGCAGTGTTGCTGTGGCACTTTTCTTGTATGACCCTCTACTTCTTTCCCATACTAAACCATACTAAAACTATCACAAACACATGCAGAGACATTTAAAGGCTGCTTCAAAACTCATGACTCTCACAAACACACAGACTTGATGTTTTCAGCACCAAATACTAGTACACTGATCTTTAAGCAACCATTTGTAGTTGTTCAAACTGAAAACATGACAGGTTTGAAAGTTCAAGTATCAGCTCAGTTCTTAAATTGTTGCTTCCCTTTTTTTTTTATTGCACATCACAAGCAATTTTATCCCATTAGTACATTACTTTCTTTTCCATTTACACAGCTAAAACACCTTGATAAAACACACGGCAAAACCACATTATGTTTGATTTAGGTAAGAAAAAAAAAAAGTCATTACTTTATCCTGATGCTTCTGTGCCAAACCATCTCAGTTTAATCTCCTTATACTCACATATCAAATTATTTTTTCCTAATTTAATCTAATCTCTTTTGATAGTAACATTTTCATTTTGAATTGTTTATAGCTACTGCCTGAAGACTGGACGACAGTGAAGGCAGTTTATCTCATTGCACTTAAGTATGGACTTGAAATAAAATGGGATGAAATAGAAGGAAGATAGTTTCTGGCAGATACAATTCTATATAAATTATGTGTGTATGTATACAGACACACATATAGATATACTTGGACAGTGAAGCCATTTGGAACATTTCATCTGACCATCCGAGTGAAAAATTAAGCATCTAGAAAGCCAGAACAGGAAATATAGAAGAAAAGCCAAACATATCACAGATCCCTCGCTTAAGAGATTAAAGCGAGTAGCTGGAGTCTGTGAAGATGATTTAAAAACCAAACAAGCAATGTCCCAAATCCAGCAAGAAGTGTAGGAAAGTGCAGATAAGGTTCTTCAGGCTTATTGCGCCCTCAGGTCTGTCTGAGCCCTTGGTGTCCATGTACCACCACCAGCTTTGGTGCTTCTCTGAAGTGACTCATAAATACTCCATGCTTATTTTTTTCTTTCTTGTTTTGAGTAATACCTGAGTTCCAAGCTTTTGCATTCAAGATAGGAATAATTGTACTGTCGATGAAAGCTAGGGCGGCTTCTGTGGAATTGCCTATATTCTTGATGATCCCTCTGTTACTCTGGGCCAGTTTGGGAACACACTCATGTTTTCAAAGCATAACCATCTGATTATGCTTGAAAAACATCACCAATTTTCCTTAACCTGAAAAAATGTTTTTATTTTATTTTTGTTTTCTTCTAGGAAGGAGATGATCTGTTTGACCAAACAAGACAAAAGTTGTTGCACACTGGGACAAGAAAGACTGGTGTTGCTCGCCATAAATTCTGGTTCAGTTTCATTTGCTTTATCTACACAGAATAAAGCACGATACAGATATAAAACAATTGACAAATGCCAGCTACACAAATAGAAACTGTAGAAACTGTTCATTGCTTTGGAAGATCTTTCCCCTTATTCTAACTTTTTTGGTATCCTCTTTACACATCTTTTTCAAAAGGACAGACCATTCTCAGAAGATCGCATAATACAGATATATGTAAGCTGAAATCAAAAGTATGATATGCCATTAGAAAAGTAATGTTCTTCTTACATCTTTTAACTAGTGAAGAAGTAACTGTTTGTAACTAGGGATGATGATTTTGAGGGGTAAAGTACAATTCAGAGACAAAAGAAACTTTATCTTTCAGGTCATTTTGAAAGGGACTAATTTAATTACTGAAGCAGTCAGATCTTGTTGGGTACAGGTTAATGAGAGTAACTAATATTTGGACACAGGGAGTTCCTGTGGTGGTGGACAGGATAAACGTCTTGGATTGTGTATAAAATTATTTAAAGTGCTCAACCATGTAACCGTGAGGACTGCCCATTCCACTGCTTCTGACCAAGGCGAAAATGGCCCAGCAGAAACTGACAGCAAAATTCTATTGCTCTCATTTGGTCCAGGACTTCACTCAAAGAGATTAAAAATATAGATGAAACTGTGTCACCAAAGCTCAATGGAAATTACTTCATCGGTGGAAATCACTTAATGGTCTACAGTAAATCCAAGATGAAATAATTTTCACCTGGTAACTACCCACGATGTTGAACAAATTTTGAATATTCAGAGTCACTGCTGCATGTTAAAAACCCTTTCCATGCATCCACCAGTTCCTTCAGTTGGAAATATAAATGTTGATGTTGATACAATAAAGGAATGACTCATTCATTTATAAATATTCTTTATTAAAGAGAAATAAATAATTCACAATTTAATAACCAGGATGTGTTCATAGCCTGAAAATGATTGGTATGGTTTCTTCTGAAGAAAACTGTTTAAGTGATGTCCCATGCAGCAGTTTAGCAGCCGTACATATGATGTCACTCCTAAAAGTCCAAGTAAATGACGTCATACATACGACCACCAAGCCACCGCGTGACAAATGACTGTTATAAGAAAATGAATTATCATTACAAAGAGAAAAACACAGGCTGCTGGGAATGTTTGAGTTCCCTTTATAGCTAGAATTAATAAAGGAATCTAGAGAAAGCAATTTAGCTTCATTGTTAAATTATATAAAAATAAATGAATAGTGCTCCCATTCTCTAAGACAGACACATGCTATTAACCTGTGCAACACTGCCCATTTCTGTAAGAGAACCCAGACAAAGCAAGCATAAAACTCTTTTTTTCCCCCAAAATATTGGACATGATGAACAAGCAACCCCAATTATTATTCTTCTACCATCAAGGAGCTTAAAGTATACTAACTGTTGATTATACATGACATTTAGGAAAAGAAGATATTTGTAGCTTTCTTTTCTTTTACTTGTTTCCACTAAATACCGTAATTTCACAACATTAATTGTTGAACATGACCAAAATATATTTCAAATTCCAGATGCTCCAACTGTTTGTTATTGATTTCAACAGCTCAAACATTTATTTGGCACATTACTTTGAAAACTGCTATGTGTTTTCACCACTTTGTGGGTCACTAAACTCTTGTCCTTCAATACATCACAACTTTGAGCAAGGGCTCACTGTGATTTAAACTGGTTGCAGAGCCCTGCTCGTACCTCAATTACATCTGAGCTATATTTCACAGCTGCAAGTGTTAGGACAGGGAAGAAAATGACTGTGATGCCTTAGGAAGGTCATTAGTGCATGGTACTCAGTAAACATGACAATAATTTCTTATCCATCACAAATGGGCTAGGAAACAGCACACAATTTCTTTTGGGAAATACTCCGACATGACATGTTTTGCTTAACCACTGAATGTTAGAATTTTCCCATACTCAATTGCTGTTGAAGCAGGATGGAAATTATCTCACAGTGAGATCCCATATGACTTGGGGATTGCAGATTTTGGCAGCTGTTTAAACAAGCATGAGATTATCAGCCACAGCAGGTGAAGACAAGGCACTTGTAATGAAAAGCAACTCATGAATCTCACAGTTCTTCCTCCTTGCTGCAGTATTAGCTCACGTGAGGAAGATTTACTTTCAGAGTAGCCTGATAAAAACTGTGGCCTTAAAGGAAGGCTGCAGAATACTTCATGGATTTTTGCTTGCAGCTCTCATTATCTTCTTGTAAAAGGTCTCTTTAGGGCAATCAGCTGCATAGCAACATTTTTTTTTTTTTTTTTAAAGCAAAGATGGAGGCAAAAAGTTCTGATCATCCCTGAAACTGGGGTGAATAGAACAGACTACGTCATTCCTTTCCCTCTTGGTAAACTGTGAGCAGCTCAAGTATCAAATTCTCACACTAAATCTCATGACCTTAAATCATCAGCAGCTCGCTTTCAAAGTTTTCCTTGCATGAGAAGAGCTCCAGAATTTGCAAGGTCACTTCCTTACAACTTGAAGCAACTGAAATTTGAGCACTTTAGAACAACAGCCTTCAAAGGTATGGTGTCAGGGGATGAGACCCAGGGGGATCTCATCATCTAAGGCTGGGGAAGCCTCTGGACTGCCAGCAGTGCCAAGCAGCAAGCAAGACTCTGATGAAGCATGCCAAACAAGGTTGTGACAGATCTTCTGGCCCACTGAAGGGTGGGACCTGGTCTGGACCGGGTGCTGGAAGAGCCTCTGCCTAAGCAAGAAAAGGCCTGTGCTTACGGTGCAGACGCAAGTTTCGGAGTCTCGTGCTGAGAGCCACTGTGCTGGACAGGTAGCAGGAGCCCGGAGGAGCATGTGGCTGCACCATCTCACTGGTGCATTCCCAGATATCTGGATCAAATGGGTACACCATGAGCAGTGCCCTTGTAATGGTGGCAAGCGTTCTACTAATTGGCTTCTGGAGACTTGAATTTACTGCAACTGTGTTCCAAAACACGTCAGTTTGTGCAGTTACTGAAAATTACATTTAGGCTTTCACATAATTAATTTTCCATCTTTTGTGAATGGGAATTATTCACAAGCCTTTCAGGAGCTGACAAAATGTACCAGACTATGTATAGTTTAGTGACTGAGGCTTGGTAACAACTTGACAGTTTTGGACTTAATGAACTTGTACAATTTGTTTTTTACTCAAAATGCATTCATTTTACAATACAATTTTGGTCTAATGGGCTTAATTGAATAATAGTGTGGTGTTCAGCTGCAGCATCCATTTTGTCCTTACTGAGCACTTCGTGGTTGGCTCAGAACAACAAAACTGGAATATGTGAGAAAAACTACTCCATCAATCCTCATTTACAGGCAAGACCAAACTACCATTTGTAGGCACCAGATGACAATTCTTGCTTGACAAAATCATGCAGAGAATAGAACTCTTTTCTCAATGTCCTGCAACATTTATTGGTCACACAGAAAAGAGACTCAAGCTTGTTTTCTCTGCAGTTTGATGCCCCTGGACATACTGTGATGATGCTCCATCTTTCTTGTAGAGAGAAATGTGCACTGGGGAGAAGAACTAATTGCTCTGGCACACAGGGGCTCACGCACTTGGGGAAACAATTCTCAGTCACACTCTGTGACTCTCAATAATTACCAAAAAAACAGAGAGCATCAGGAATAAAGTGAACTAAGAAATAATGAACAGCTAAATCTTCTAATGGAATTCACTAAACTGTAGAGGACTACCTGGTGATGCTGCAAGCATTGCCATTATTCTGCATCCAAAAGCAAGGGAAGCCATCAAAGAGGAAGACAATAATGAGTTAGTTTTATTTCTAAATTAGGTTGTGGAGAAACTGATTCTTCAGATTTTGTTTGGCAACAGCAAGTTATTATGGACCTGCACACAGAAAAGTGCTGTTTATTCTGTGCAAAAAATGACATATGTAAAAGAGATGGATTCTATTGGAAGGTACCAAAACCCCTTGGTGACAGGTCTAAAAGCTGTACCTTATGGGGAGAGGAGGGTCTATGGCCACCTTGAACTAGGGTCTAGGACAAAATATTCAAGAAGAGATATGGGATGAATCTCACACCTACGGTGGGACAAATGGCATAAACAGGGAGCCTGGAGCCCAGAGGGGAAGACAAAGGACCTCAACAGGTTGTGTTGCTTTGTGAAAGCTTGCAGTCACAACCTGGGAGTGCAGGACAAATGAGAGGATGACAGTAAACCATCAAAGAAGAGAGATCTGGAGGATGGTGTGTGGAGTGGGTAGAGAACAGGAATATGAGATCACTCCCATGTCACAACTACTTGAATAACTGTATCTTCCTCAACCTCAGACAGTAGCTGACATGTAAGCCTCAGGGGTTCATGGTTCTGGGAACCAAGGAGTCATTACAAGAACCTACAGAGAGGGAACAGGTTTTTTTGGAAGAGAAAGACACACTTTCCCTGTTACAGACCATCCCTGGAAGATAAATTAATATACAAGCTATCTAACCAGATCATAGTATGGCCACTTCAATGGGGAAGGAAGGAATATAGAGATGGTAACAGTGAAAATGTAAGATTTGTGCTTAAGCTATCCATTGAGGTCAGAAGATGGAGAGCCCTCTGGTGCCAAGATATCTAAAAGGAATGGGATGCAGATCTTACTGCAGTTTCTTAAAGAAATCCCAGCCCTGAGTACTGCAGCAATGAGCACAGAACTAATGCTGCACACATGCTATCATGGGTGAGAGATTTAAAAGATTTGTGGATAAGAGGGCAAGGATCAGCCCAGTCTTTCAAGGCTGACCTACAAACCCATGCTCTGGTCAGTGCACCACAGGCACTCAGAAATGCTGTTGACAGTTTTAGTTATCTGAACATTTACAGTCCCGTCATTTGACTGGGGAAGAAAAATAACCTGCAACTGTTCCTTCAGTCGTCATTGGCCTGTTATAGGAAGAATCACTGTTCTTTGCCAAGGCCCCTGTCAGGCTCCTCAGATCAGCTGGGATTCAAACCCAGAAGCTGGCCTCTGTCAGACTGTTTTGTTAGAGAGGTCTCTGACCATAGGGATTTTCCCAGCCAGTGCACTGCTACATGCATCCTTTGCAGGGCTATGTGCAACAGCCACAAAATGTCACAAATATAAGGATACTCCAAATTACTTCAAGGCAGAAAACTTCTGCCAAGCACAGGGATGATTCCTTAAATCATTAACTAATTCTGACCAAATTCTTTTGAGACCAAGCTAACAGAAATTTATTAACTCTCCTCTGTTATTTATCCTGCTCTCTATCTCTTTTTTGTTTGAGGGTCCCAATCCTGAACTATGAATTCAATATTTTACCAAAGTGGGATCTTTTTGTTGTTCTCTATGATCCCATTTAATTATTTTCTTTTTACCTCCTTCTATCCATCATTCTCTTACTGTTCTCTACTTCCCTTCCCTCCTCTTCATCCCTAAGAACTTAAGTGGCAAACAGCACCGTGAGCAAGTTATGCTAGGCTGAGAGAAGCAGAGGGGCAGAAGCCAACAAACAATCCAGGGACAGCAGTCTCCTCTGTTCCCCAGTGTGTCTTCTGGCCCTGTTTCTACAACTTAGACCAGTAAAGATAGGAGTTGGTAGGGAAACGTGCACAAATGTTCCACATTCAGGTGCTGGAAGAAAAGATGAGAAGCAGAGGGGCATGAGGAGCTAACCAACAAAACACAAGAAGAATAAGGATCAGTGTTCCTGAACATTGATCTTCAGGAACACATAGATAAAGAGTTAGTTGGGGAATAAGGTGGCATCCAGCAGGCAAGTTACTCATACCACACCAAGGTATAGAGGTGCTTGTCCCCATTAGCATAATTCAGACATACTCTGACCATTCTGCAACTGAGGTTCTGCGCAGTATTCTCATTTCTGACTACCTGTAATATCTTTGATTTTATAATTGTTCATAATTTGAGGTTTCATAAGTAGAGATCAGAGAAAGCATTCAACTTACATAAGAGGTGTTAAGTCAGGTAGAAATGAATTTACTATGTATCTAGAACAACAGTTACTTAGCCATGTTGCATACATTGAAATAACTGTAATATTGATATTAACCAGATGAAAATACCATTTAAACTTAATAACTAAACTTTACACTGCTATTTTCCATTTTAATTGCTTTCCTAATAGCACAGTACCTATAAATAGTGAAAACACACAGTAACTTAAGTCCAAGTCTCACACAACGATGGTAAGGAAGTTTTCAAACACGTAAGTTTCCATGTCACCAATATGTTATATCCTGTAAAACACGGACATGAAAAATCACATGCATTACCTTCTTCAGACCTTCAGTTCTATCTCACCAAGAAACAGTGGTTTCCAGTTCAAACTTCTATGGGATATCTTATTTAGAAATTTTACTAACCTTATTTCAAATTGTATCAGTAAGGAAACTTATTCCTTCACCTATGCAGTATAACAAATATAACTCAGTACTCATTTTTCTGAACGTCACCACAAGTTGCAGTTTGGTAGGTGTCATGAGCAATTCAGTTTTGTGGCACTTACAATTAGAAGGATGATCAGTAAGAAGCAACCGTGGGTTGTTTTTTTCATTGTGGAGTCTTCCTGGAGAGAGATGCTGTAGCTGACCCTACTGGGAATTAAACAACAAACAAAAAAAGCACAGTGTTAGACTTTATCTGTTAAGATAAATTCCTTGTCATTAGTGTATGAGCATCTTTTGAGGTTTAAAGTAGACTCTGTGTTGTGTGTATGTGCACTTCCAGCTTTGTGTGTGCTCATGTTTGATTTTATTGGATGCTTTTAACTGTGTCTCCTCTGTGCATCTCTGGTTGTGAGTTCAGCTGATGTGGCATACAGCTCCATGCTATGTCACCAGCAGCAGATCTGGGTTAAGCTGTGTCTTTGCCAGATGAGCCTACCTTGGTTGTCCTGATTCAGCTGCTTCTACCCTGCAGATACGGATGCAGACTTATGAAGAATCTGGATACTTTAAATATGACCTAAAAACACAGGAAGATCTGCTTCACAGATAAGGACGACGACAGTTTAAAAGACATATTTATGGGGCTAGAAAAAGCCAGAGATTTGGTAACCTCTAGCTACATGAATGAGTAAGTGTGGCAGGAAAATAGGAACACCACTCTGTGATTTCACACTCCCTGTTAGCTTGGATAGACACATAGCAGTGTAACTCTCAGGCCATCGAGAATCACAGGTTCAGCTGCACAAGATACTGGAGAGGCAGAGCATAGACACGATTCCACAGGCTTGGAGGAAACTGGATTGGAAGCTTTTTGGTTTTCTTCTTTTTTTTTTTCCCTAAATCAACAACCATCTGGCCTTTCTGGGAAAAATATCCAGGGGTCACTATGTATCATCCTATTGCTTTGCAGTTGTGGGAGTTCAAGCAAGAAAAGCTCTTTGCATTAACACATCATTTTTAGCCTTATAAAAATGGAACTTCTCATCAGAGTGAGAAACACTATTTGGTCAAGACCCAGTGCCTTCTGATTTCTCATGGACATCAGTGATGCATGGGCTGAGCAACATGCCTATAGATCATCTTCAGCATGACAGTGAGCCCACACACAACTTTATTCTCCAAACAGCCTAAAAACTGAGAGTGAGGTGTTGTATCCTGGACAAACAATCCTGGAAGTACCCTACAGATCTGAAACCAGGAAATTTAATGGGAAAATGGCACACGGACTTGGATGCTTAGTCTACTTGGCATGTAGTGAGCAACACAATTACTTGTGTAACATTTATCTCCGCAACAGTACTGTAACAGCTTTTCTCATCTTGAAATGATCTGGAAGGTCACACATTTTCAGAGGGAAAGAAAAATATTGTCCACATCTAAAGCAGAAATATGTAATCTCAAAATGTAATAAAGGTGTGGCACTTCCACTTCAGTATAGCACACGTGGATGTGATCTCTTATGGATCCAAATGGTAGTGTTGTAGTCATATGTCATTTAGATTATATAAAACACAAGTGATGGAAAAGAAGATTCAGAGGATTTGCCTCTAATAAGAAGTAGCCGTATTACTGTCTGAGCCTTGCCAGAACCATTCTGGTGTGTCAGTGACAATGGGACAGGCAAATGACAGAAATAATACCCTGTCAGCCACATATTTGTACCTGATCAGCAATGACAAACAACTCAATTGGAGCAAAAATTGGGCAGCTAGATCAGAGGACAATGCCTGGAACTGTCTGCATCTTCTCCAGACTATTCACTACAGCATGTATTGGTTCAAACCTGCCAAAAAGATCCATGAAGATATAAACAACGGGCCTTGGTCAGCTGTGCCATAAGCACATATACAAGCATGAGTACGGTGTTCATACAATTACATACTGTACCATAAAGCATTCTGTAGTGTGATGTAAAGCCAGTCTCTGTTCTTTCTAGCCTCATTATTTCTATAGGTTAAAAAGCAGGCAAAAGGACTTTGCCTTAAAAACTGTTGCTAGTTTTAGAATACACATCAGTTTCCACAAATGGCACAGAGATCAACACAATTTTGTGACCTAGAGAACATAAGCAAAATCAGTAACAATGGAAATTATCTGCAATATATCTACTTTTCATGTACTTTGTCCTGGGAGTGCTTGCAGCACCATGTCGGGTTATAGCTGTAGCTGCAGGTAAATCTTACCCTTGGGAGATTTTGTGAACATTTGTTATTATGTACTGCAGGAGCTACCTAAAATGTTTCTGGCTCCCACCTCTCCTAATAAAAAAAAAAAAAAAAAAAGCTATCTGTAAAATATTTAACACATTATTTTCCCGTCTGTTAAGTGTGATGACTGTGCCATATGATACTACAATGAGTAAACGAGTAAGGAACATTTTCCATGCTAAATCTTATATAGTCTTGATATTTCTAGTCTTCTAGCTACACTAACCCCAAGAACAGCTGACATGCTACGTAAAATCCAGTACTTCTTTTTATTTCCTCTTTCACCGGAGTATTTTCCAGTGACAACGGTTGTTGAACATTATTTTAACAACCCTAGTATAAAGCCCCTGACTTAAGAAGCTGCTTTTCTCTATTTTAACCATAAGAATGGCCAGTAACACTACAGCACACTTGAGTTAGCATCAGTATTGGATCATGGATGATGACCACATTGAAATTAAAAGCTATACACAGGTTAAAGTGTTGGACAATGGGCAGGGCAGAAACAATGGGGAGGCAGAAAGATTTAAGAAAGGATAGCCCTGACAGAAGGACCTTTCAGCTTCCACACAGAGGAATAGACAAGCATCTCCATTACTCTGCCCCATCTCCAGCAATCCAGGCTCAAGCAAGACATGACAGGAAGCTGGGATATGCAACACAGCACATTCAAGTGCCCTGGGGTTTGAGTCTCTTGTGCTGGAACTATCACCTTTTTACACCAACTGGCACTACCACATACTTGCAGCCAAAGGGAGGTGGGGTAGCCCAAAGCAGCCTCAAACAGAGCATAGGTGCCATCCTAACTCTTGTTTCTCTATTATTTTACCCTTTTTCCATCAGTCCAACAATGTCCTTGCTCAGTGTTAAGATAATGTAATGTGCTTCATATGTTTAAGTTTTAGAACACCCATATTTAGTGATTTAATGATAAATCCACTTCTAACGCCTAGTACTTTTCCTTGATTGTATTAATTTATAATAGTTACGTATGAAATACCTATTTTTTAAACTAGAACATTGTTCTTTCTTTCTTTGTAAATGTAGCATAGTTCATTATGCACTAAGATATTTTTCCTGCTTCAGCGATTATAATATTACCATTGACACCTCGGGGTTAGTCCTGAAGCTCATCTGAGGATGAACACAGCCTCCTACTTTGTAATGACATCTCTTTTGGCTCTGTCCCCGACTTCTACAGCTGCAGTACTAAGCTCTACAGGGCTTCAATTACGGTTACCAGGAGGTTACCCAGAAGGTGGGATGACCCTCTCTGCACAGCCATTTGCACAAGGCCAAAAAGGGGGATCAAATTTAGTCAGAAAGGAGGGTATATATTCAAAAGAGGACAGTAGAGCAACATTTCTTTACTGAGATTTGAAAAAAATTGATTCCTCCTCTTTGGAGGAAGAACTGGAAAAAACTTTTCATTTAATTATTCTGCTCTGATAATTCTGCAGTGCCATCTTTCACAATAGTGCTGACATACCTTTGGAAAAAGAAATTGTTTTAATAGCACAAAACAGGACTTGTGGGGGTTGTGGCTAAGTACAGAGGTGTGACGCAAAATATCTCTTTCTCAGCTGGTGTATTACCCCCAGAAACTTTGAAAATTCACTTTCTACCTCATTTGGCTTCAAGTTGCTCAGACGGCTTCCTTTCTACTCCATGCAGCTTTCTCAGGGTAAGTAGCTGTGTATCAGCCTTCAACCCCAAGGCCTCCAGGATTTCTTAACTAGCAGGGAAGCTTGTAGACCCTCCCAGGGAGTGCCTTGCTACTCAGCACGGAAGGGCGCCAACCCACTCTGCTTTCATTAACACTGCAGTGGGAAACACAGAGCAGAGGCACCTGGGCAAGATTCAGGCAAGCAAGCAGACCTCCCTGCTGAGCCTTTAGGGAATTTGCATCCAAGGAGGAGCTTGCAGGTCTGTTTGCATTGCCAAATGTATTAAAATTGCCCTCTCATTCTCAGCTGGACATTTTGCCCCTGGGTTCCTAATTTAGGCTACTGCTTTGAGCCAAGAATGAGCTGTACATGACACTTCTATAATCCCAGATCCTGTGCAGATCGGCATTGTAGTTGTAGCCCCTTCAAGCAGAGAAAATGACGTGACTGTGACCCCCATGGTGAGAAGGGAATAGAGCCACACCTCTCCTATTTCCCAAGCACATGCTCTTGCCATTAGCCTGCAATGGTCTGCAAATGGTTTAACTGGCACCAGGATCTTCTGGCAATGATGTTTACAAGGGAGATGATGAGCTCTACTGAGTTCTTCCTAATAAGCCAGAAACCATCAGTCCCAGGTGGAGATATGTGCCTCCCTACAGCCTCCAGTCAAGTGACCAGGAAGATGAGGCAAGGCAGAAGACAAATCTAGCATCTTGCATTCCTGTATTCCCTACTGGTTACCTTTACACAGCTCCTTGATCTGTTGTCTAGCCCTCCTGAAGTCTTCATATGGAAATCTCCTGAGAAACACAGGTTCCAAATTCTCAGTTTCAAGCAGCAGGTACCTAAAGGCATTGCTACATCAAAACTGCAATCATCTAGCTCGCCTGATGGGTCTTATGTCATTCTTTTTGGTAGTCTTGGAGATAATTTCAATATCAGAGAGCCAAATGCTCTGTTGTGTGATGATTACTCAGTTGTTACCCAAGCAGATCACCATTAATTTCCATTAGATTGTCTGGTGGAAAGGGTGAACTGCACCTTGCAGATCTGCGTGTGTGCTATGTTAACAAACTAATACTATTAGCATGGCAAATAGGCAATTTCAGAACTACATGGATCAAGTGACCAAATAAATCTACTTTATTGATTCACTTGGATTACATGGGAGATGCAATGTTTCATGCTTCAGTTTCTCATTGAAAACCAATCAACAAGAAGGGGCTATTT